TAAATTACAAACCCTTGACTATCCGTGAATTTTGAGTAACCAAATATTGGATATTCAAAGAATATCCATTTCTAACCGTGAATATTCATGGATCCAAACTCTAGAAATAATTTACATGCATTTAAAAATAAGAAATATATAAGCAAATAAGTGATTGTAATCTTGTTAATATCTCATATTCTAGTGGGTAGAATTTGGTAAAACTTATACTATTTGATTCGTCTCATTGAGACGAATCGAATGGTATAAGTTTCGACAAATTCTGACTGCTAAATCATGAGATTTCTTTGATTTGGTAAATAAAGATTTTTCAAAAATTATTGTAATTTTATAAAAATTGTACTTAGATCGGTCCTAAGTCACAAATTTCAAATTTGGAAGGCTTGTATAACAATGAATGTCCACTATGCTACTACGTATTAACTATAACAAAAAAACAGAATCTCGAAAGAAATTAATCTACTTCGGGACGAACCTAATTTGTATACGTATAATAACTTTATAGTTGTATTTAATAAAAAAGAGCGCCACACGCGCCCCACGATGGTATCATCGGGGATAGTTAAAAAAAAAAAAAAGTGATACGTCTGTATGTCAAGATCTCGATCTTTTTATTAGTAAATTAGAACTTATTTTCTAATCACATGAAGATTGTTTAATAATATTTTGAGTTTCAAAGCACCTCAAATTAGAAATATTAGCATTATTGTTATCGTTATTAAAAATAAAAATAAAGTCGATCAAAATCAATAAATGATGTAATTTACTTCTAAAATTTGAAATGCTATTTTTAAACAAGTTTATATTGATGCAAATATCTCTTTAGGGAAAATCTTTTTAAAGGGATATTTACATAGGGAACGCATTGGGTTCTCCCTGTATTACCAAATTCAGTAAAAAACATTAAGGGGTTTTGAGTTTAAAAGATTTAAGGTAACTAGTTTAAGTTCGGTAACGTTTTCACTTTATTAATGTATTAACTTTTATCATGTCAAAGCCACGTCCTGCAATTCCTCCAAAGCCTGCAAGGTTATCAATAAGTTCTCAGAAACGAACCACTTCTGTTAGTTCTGAAAGATCTACTTTCACTGAGGATTTGTCCGAATCGCCTCGATGTTCCTCAAAATTAAATATCGAAGACGACAGGACTCCCAGGGCTTCTGAAATGTTCTCGTCACCTTCGACCGGTCGGCAGGCTAGAGCATTATATGATTTTGTGGGTGAAGCGTCATTTTCCGAGTTATCTTTTCGGGCTGGTGACGTCTTAAACGTGATAAAAGGCCAACTTTCTGACGGATGGGCTTTGGCTGAAAAGGACGGTATAACTGGTCTCGTTCCTGAAGCTTATATCACCGTATGTTATCTTTATGATATTTTTATGATTTTTCTCGCTATCTCCTGATTTTTATATTTTTATTTGAATATAATATAATAATAATATTATTATTTTACCTTATAGTACACTACTGACTTTATGGAGCTTCCAAATTCTACTTTTTCAACAATGTTATCTTATCGACTCGCTGATCTATCTACTTCTCCAGTTGAGTCAACATCTATTTCCCCAGTTGAGTCAACATTCACTTATTCAATACGCGATTCAATGGATGGCTCTATGAATGATTCGATGACCAGTTCAATGTTTGGATCAATCAATGGGTCATCACGTAACAATACTCTACTAAGGAAACGTCAATTAAATCGATTTAGTTGGTTTGTTACAACTGGTGTTGAAGAATATATCATAAGTGGTGGACTGCCGCTTCAAGGTGTAAATTCTTCAGAAGTTTCAGAAGTGGATGTAACTGAAACTGATAAACATTATATACAAGTAAGTTTTATATTTTAATTGAAGGATATATTAATTTATGCTTTGACTCCAATTAACGCATATACCCCTGTTTTTTTTAATCAGGGTGGTCCAAGTTGGTTGGAGAAATCACCAGGTTTTAAAATTATGGTACATAATCCCGAAAAACGTGTTAAACTTGGTGGTGTTCAGGAGTATACTATTTTTCACGTAACTTCTATGGTAAGACTTCTAATACTTTTATTAAACTTTCTCTATAGTTTATTTATAATATAATCAATTAAAATTTCAAACCCCAAAGAAATAACTAAATGACTTTAAAATAATTGTTATAGTTCTCAGAAGGCGTTCAGATCACTGTTGAAAGAAGGTTTAGTCAATTTGAGTGGCTGTATAACCGTCTGGTGAATAAATTTGGCGCGTTCGTATTGCCTCCTCTTCCTGAAAAGCAATATTCTGGTATGGTTCACATAATGATAAATTAGTTAATGTAAATCAGTTTTTAAAAATATATGCTTAATATAAACTTTAGGGCGTTTTAATGAAGAATTTATAGAAAAGCGTCGCCGCGCTTTAGAAAGGTTTATCAATCGGTTGGCTCGTCATCCAATTATTCGATATTCTGAAATTCTGACTCATTTTCTTAGTTGTAATGATGATTCGGTACGTTCGCATCCCTTATATCATTTTATATAACTCCTTTTATCATGTATAATTGATCATTTTCTCAAAACCAAATAATTAGGAATGGCGTAAACAAGAAAAACTGTTTGAAGCTGATAAACTTGTTGGTCATGCATTTTTCCAACATGTTTACCATCCAGAATTCAACGTGGATGATAGGTATGAATAATAAAATATTTGAAAATTTTATATTATCATTTATATTTTATTTGTAATTGATTATAGAGAAATTGAGACTATGGAACGATTTGAATCATATTCTCGAGCTATGGAAAAGTTTATGCCATGGCTTAATGAGGCATCGCAAGCCCATAAAGATTCGTTAGAAGGTAGTTTATTTATCTTATTTATCATAGTAACACGTATCTTTGTTGTTTGTAATTCTTTGCTAATTTTGTTAAAAATTGTAGAAATGCATCAACACTATCGTAAGATTGGCTATGCATTACTTAGGCTCATTACAGGCCATGATAATAGTGAAAGTAATGATTCTATAAATGATGAAGGCGCATGGTGCTGGAGGGACGGATGTAAAGGTGAGAATTGTGAATTTAATTTTTAATACTTTTTGAATACAATTTTTTAATCTTTTTAATATATTTGCTTAGCTTGTCTTAGTCTTACTAAAGCAATTCAATCCACTGTTGAAAGCATGCAGACTATCGCAGATATGTATAAATCACATGTATGTACGAATTTTATTTAATCTTATCAACGAACATAATATTGTATTTCTGCTTATTTATCAATTAATTATGGTTCATTAGGTGAATGACACGTGCATTACATGGATTGAGAATCTTAATGAATATAGCTATCCAGCCAGAAGTTATGAAGTATGTATGATATTTGTTTTCACTAAAAATATTATATGAATAGATGTATTATGTGTGCTAAACGAAAATTTTATATCATTCTTTAGCTTTTGATTGATATGCATAATGGTACGCATAAAAAATTTAAAGAAATCTCTGAAGAAAATATAGGAAAAGATCAAGAATATGTGAGTTTAGGAATCATTTAACGTTATAGATATATAATTTGGATCTAATTTTTGACCATATTTAACAAAGGATATGGATGTAGAAACAATTCGTTCTCGTTGTGACACAGTGTTCAACGTAACACTTTCCGAAGTTGATCGTATTCATGACGAGCGTGTTCAAGATTTTCAAGAAAACACTAAGCAATATTTAGATGGACAAATTGAATTATATGAAAAGGTATACGGCTTTTATTTGACCGGATTGGTTTTACTATGAGAATTCATTAATAACATCTTAATAACATCTAATATATATTTATTTATATATAGATTCTTGAAGAACTTCGTCAAGCTCGTGCCAACTTTGATGAGCCTCACTATACTTCTCTTTCACAAACCCCACGTACACCTAGTCAATACGAAAATTTAATTGATGATCAACGACCAATATCATCACGTCCAGTTTCTGTCAGTGTCAGTTCAGTAAGTTCCATGTCTGATATGGTAGGCGGAGTTGTAGATGGTGTTGGTAGCATGGGAAGTTTCTTGAAAAAGACGGCTAAAACATCAATTACGAAAGGTACAATGTTTGATTCTTGGTGGGGAAAAAATTGAATATTAATTTTATATGTAAAGTTGGTGATAATGTTAAAGCTTAGGTTATAATTTTTGATATTTTACTTTAGTTTTCTGTTTAGTGTACAATTGTATATTCAATATTTATTAATATTTATTAGTTGTACATATATGTACTGTAGTTTCAATTTATCCACATACACTGTATATTCAATCAATTAACAATGGCATACATTCATGAATAATAAATCTCGTAAATCAAATTAAATTTTAGTTGTCAATTTTTGTTAAAAAATTTAATAAATTCATTTCCTTAATGGAAAGTTTGCAAATGGTCGATGACTCTTGTGTAGCGGCTTTTATTATTTTACAACAAAGATCATGAAAATTAAAATACATATAATTATACTATATTTTTATAAAAAAACGTTTATTATACGAATCTAAAAAATGCATATAAATATATAAAGGAAATACCAAATATTTTACAAACTATATTAGACTATTTGAGAATTATCCTCATTATGATTTTGGGTATCACTTATATCATTTTTAATAAGTTCGATTGTCTTTACGCCATTTAAAGGAGAAGTATTATCTTTTCGAACAACATTGATCTCGAAAGTTGATCCGTCATTAAAAGTAAACGTTGCTTTATGGTCTGAAGTAGGTGGGTTTATTCGGATTGATAAAGGTCTGTGTGACATATATGAATTTAAATGAGGATAATACTGATGATAGGCAAATAACGAAAGGATAAACCCTAAAAATGTAACAAATTTAATTGTCATTTATTATAGAAATGAATTGCTAAAATATAAAGGTGTAATAAATTAACATACCAATTAACCCACCACTCACAACATCTTGCCAATGATGACGATAATCTTGTATTCGTGTAATTGCAATGTATGTTGCAACAGCTAGTGGAAAAAGTACAACGAAACTTTTATATACATGTCCTTTATTATCAAATATGTGTAATTTACTAAAAAGTATATAACGGAGAATATAATTAGTAAACTAGTGTAATAAGATTCGAACAAATAAACTTACTAACCCAGCTAGATATAAAGATAAAAATCCCAATCCAGAAAATGAAACTAATCAAATAAATAACTATTATTAAATCAATACTTATAAAGAATAGTATTGATGCTATACTTCGGAAATTATGACTCACGTGATGAATGACCAGATACAAAACTTTTGAAGCCATCCCTCATAATATGATTATTTGTTTGTTGACAGATACTCGAATTGCTAAGTCCGAAAGGACTAGCATCGACTGACCCAGGTAACGGATTGCACCTATCAATAAAATCTGGTCGAGGACGTCCGGCAAAACTCTAATATGTTATCTTAATTAATAGCGGATACTCAACAAGCTCATTAGTTTAATGGAAGTTGTTGTTACCTTAAATAAATCGGTCAACATTAGTGTGAGGGTGGTACTTAATAGTAAACCTAACATAGCATGGTGCAAATCATGCAAATTCCTTTTTATTCCTAAAGAGATGGTTATTATTATGAGAAACGGAGCAAGGATGTCGATTATCTAAATAAATGAAATGAATAGTTCATATTACATGATATTTAGACTAGTGTTTGGAACCGGTTTTATTTTTCATATTTGATATATAAAACCGACTAAAACCGATTTTAATATACAATAGTAAACCCGGTTCCAAACTCTACTTTAGACAAGAGTAATTAATTAATTTACTCACAGCAGCAAGCCAAATTGGTATTCTTTCGTGTTCAGAGAATGGATATTGTATAGTCTTATCTTGCAAAGAAAATCTCTGGTGAAATGGTTCCATTTTATCTACTATCACGAATACGCACGAGAAAATAACACAAAGAGCCCAACTTTTGAGTTTTTACAAATCAGTTAGCATATTTCGTCGTTAAAGTTAATCTTGAGGAAACATACTTACTCTAACGCATAGGCTTTCACGGCTCGAACGTTTATAGAAGCCATGCTTAAATTATGTCGTTGTTCCGAGTTGGGAATTACCGTATAATCTTTTATTAAAAAATTATAGTAAAAATGTTCAGTTGGAACTTATATAGAAAAAAAAAGTACAGTAATAATAACAGGAAATAAAGAGCCACCATATTGATTAAAGTATCTAACAATATCAATGCCTTGGTGATGTATCGTATCACTTTCCATTAATTAATCGTTCCTTAATGTTATTTTAACAAGCTTTGTTTAATACTTTAACCAATTATTTGTAGATCAAACTAGTTTCGGGGCTAAGCACTATGAGCCCTGCTACGTAGTTGGATACCTAACTCTATTTCTGTATTTAATAAACAGGTTTACTTAAAATAAAATAAAATATATACAATATAAAATAATAAAAGAAAATATTTAGACATCCTATATCCGATATATATTGGTTTTATAAGTTTTAATTTAATAAACGAAGAATTTTTAATTAGCTCTATTAATTTTAAATCTAATACTATTAATGTTATACGTATAGAGCAATGGCTGTTAAAATTCAATGAAATTCTACGAATTTGTATACGTATAATTTGATTTATTCAATATTACGTAACAGTTAACAGTTAAGAAATACGTATTCGTTCGAAATTGTCCATTCATTGTGTCAATAAGATAAATCACGTTAATGTATTGTTCGTACACAGCCTTTCCCCTAATTTTATTTGATAATCTAATATCACATGTTTCTTCTAAATTCGATCAAGAAATTGATTTTTTTTTTTTTTTTATTACCGTTACAGATTTTAATCAATGACACTTATGATGAGAATTTTTCCATTAATAAGCAAAACATTGGTAAAATCTTATAGGTCACCATATATTTCAAAATCTCTTTTCTTCCGATCAAGTCAAAAAACCTCACCTTTTATAAATATATTTCCAATTATATATCGTTCGCTAAACACATTAACATCAGCAGATGCATTCGACACGATAATTCCACCAAATTCAAAAGATGAATCAATTGCCAAAACCGAGCATGTCATTAAACTTGCTAAAGATGAACAATTAGAACAAGCCGTCCAAATAGTATTAGAAGCAGAGATAAATTCTGAATCTGAAACTACGTGGAATCAATTGATTTCTGAATGTGTTAATAAAGGCAGAGTAAAATTAGGTATAAGATTATTGAATGAGGTAAATGAACAATCCGAAATTGTCCATCAATATTATGCCCGACAGTCATTTCATCAAAAAATGAAAATTGGCTAACCCTAATTTAACTCTAATCGGGCCAATATTTTATGTGAAATGACCTGTCGGTGAAGAGAATTGCCGGTAAACGTACGTAAATAAAAAATTGATTTTGCATTAATAGATGAAACGATTTGCCCTACAACCCAGCATGAATACATACATGCTATTACTCAATGGTCTTGTAGAATGTCGTGCTATGCCTGATAATGTTTTTCATGCTAGAGCAATTGTTGACAGTATAAGGAGGACTGGTCGACGTAAATCGGAATTTCAGCTTAGTACTGAACATGCAAATATTCTATTGAAAGTTTGTTTTAATGCAAATGAGTTCCAAGCGTTAGTGAATAATTATGATACACTTTTTCATCCCGAATCATATGGTAAATTAACAGCTAATAGGGAAACACATACAATTGTTCTAAAAGCTTGTGCGAGAAATTGCATCAAATATCCAAATGTAGCTTTTCCTTTAGCAATAAATATATGGGATAAAGTATTTCAAAAAGCAATTGAACATCTTAAAAATCCAAGCATTCGTACAGAGGAGGATGCTATTGATGATGAACTTGTTTGCGCTATGCTTCTTGTATATAGAAATTCAGATCAAATTGACAGAGGATTTCAGATGCTAAAAGATGTATATGGAATTGGGGATGATGTGATAAGAGCTCGTCCCTATAATTTGCAAATGACATCAAAATCATTAGATCTTATGATGGGATTATGCTTTAAATCTCAAAAAATCGAATTGGGTATTAAGCTTTTTCATAATTCAAAAGTTTTATTTCCAAATCTTCAGTTAGATATTGAAAACTTTAATAGTTTAATTTCACTTTATAATAAATCTGAACAATATGATGACTCTATTACTACGTTTAAACAAGTTCTTGAATTAGGTATTGAACCAGTTCCAACAACATTTGATTTAATTATGGTAGCTTGTAGAAATTCACAAAATTTAGAATCAGTTAAAGAGATTTTTGGCATAATAATTAAACACAAAGTTGTCCCAAAGGCTACTGCACTAACGAAAATACTTGAGATGACACTTGAATCGGACCCTATTCGTATGACAAAAGAAGTTCGATGGATATTAAACAAGATTGATCAAATTGGATTGAACAATCCTAAGTCACTTGTAACCATTGCTATAAAGCAAGGAGTGCCAAAACTACCATTTGAGATTGATGACAAAGATTTCCTACGTACTATAATTAATGCTTATGGTGTGGCTTTGGATAAAGCTGCAGGTAAATTGCCAGATCACACCGAAGAACGTTGGACTAATAATTTGAGATTTTATAAAAGCCGACTTTGGGATATAAATCAAAAAGAAGCGCAAATAAAGCAAAGTAGGAAGCAAAAAGAATGTGCTTTGATGGATAGGAAGACAAAATGGGAAACCATGAAAAATAAATTAAGACAAGAAAACATTAATGACGATGAACAAGTGGAACAGGCAAAAAATGAAACTGAAGTAAAGAAAACAAACTGGAAAGGAAGAGAGGACGTAAAAAAACTTGAAGATAAAAGGTTAGATCGTTCAGTAAATAGAGAAGAAACACTAATATCAACGTCAGGTCGTGAAAGGCATGAAACTTTATCATCGAGGCTTCGTAATAAATTAAAAACATCATATAATTCAAAATAAAATAAGTTTCATATAAAAAACGAGTGTCACCAAGTTTGTATAAGTATTTACAGTGTTTGAATTATAATCTAAAATTGGGTACCAAAACCCTTATTACAAGATTAGGAGTTTAGGCTTTTATATCTAACCTAAACTTGTAATTTAGCTCTAACAGAATGTTGATAAATTAGAGCTAAGATAAAGTTGGCGAAATATTGTGATAGTAAGAGATAATCAGAGTTTTGTAATAATAGAGATGAACATGAGGTTAATTAATATTTATGATTACAGTCAGACCTCTTTATAGTCACCTTCTCTATAGTCGCATTTTCTTATAATCACATAAATTTTATTAAAATCAACTTATACTAATAGTACTTCGTTAATGAAAATGAAGAGAAAAAAATTTTATTAGTCTGCTATATTAAAAAAAGAAAAAAATCTATTACAATAAAACAATAATAATATTATTTAAAAAGACAAAAGAAAGAACCGACTAGCAGGACTAGCAGCTCTACTAACTCCTAACCTACCGGTTATTCGGAGTGTCATCAGAACTAAGAAGCTCCTCAACTTCTGGAGTTATTAGTAAGTATAATTATAAATTTATATACTACTAAAAAATTGATGAGTAAAAAATTATGGGATTCGCAAAAATTGACGTGTACTTATTTTTGATTGGTCAATTACAAATGACATCACTAGACAAAACGATTATAATCTGTATATAATACTTATAAAACTTAACCTCTATATAGGTACAAACTATTAATAAACACCAAATTCTTAAAACCAAGAGAGTAATTATAGAGAGGTTTGACGGTATTTAATATTAATTAACTTTATGTTGAACTGATTTCATATAGTAATGGTTTTACAAATAATGTTACTGTAGATTTTCTCAAAACTAGTTATTGATTGCTTATATACTGTATTGCAAAAAATTTAGATTATGCTATTTTTAGATATGAAAAACATATTAAAATTAATAATTAAGAGATAAATCATAGTTGAAGAACAAAGTTATAGGAAATTTTATAGTAAAAATTGCTAGATATTATTATATCGAAATATAAGTTAATTTGCAATATTAAATATTTTTAGATTTTTTCACAAATTTTTAATAAAGCTATAATATAAATTATTCTGGTTTTAATAGTAATAAACTTATTATAGTTAGTCTTTTTAAATTTTAGTATTTTAAATTTTGTAATTTATAATTTTATCTATTAAAATATTTTTTAAAATTCTAACTTTATTTTAGTAAAATTTTATATAAAATTTATAAGTTTTAACAATAAATTATTTTTGAATCTAGTTTATATAGTGATAAAAAATTTTTTCATATTATTCTTTATACTATTTAATAAGTAAATTTATATTTAAATTTTTGATTAAGTGTTTTTTTTCTGCATACATATTATATATTAATTATAATAAAAATATATATTAAAGGTTTAGTGATTTTAGTATAGTGGTTAGGTTATCAGATTATCATACAAGAGGTCTAGGGTTCAAATCTCACTGTCAACAAATTTGAATAATTACTTGGACCTTTGTATCCAATTTATGATAAACTCCACCTGTTTCTGAAGGTTACAATTTTATAATCATATTACTTCAATATCAATTAAACATTGGAAGTATAATGCAATATTCAAGTTACATTGCATGAATAAATCATAATAGAATCTACAGGCAGAGAGTCTGCATAGTGGAAATCCCAAGTTTGATGAAGTAGTATGGATTTCAATAGTCAAGCTAGTTAATTTCTAATTTAGTGAAAAACCTGAATATGAAGAATATGAGATCGATAGATATGAGTAAGTTTGCTATATAACATAGCCTAGTACCTTGCATTAGTAGCAATACTAACTTGGCTTGGCAGCTAACTAGATTAGGAGAATTTATCTCATGAAACATCTGGTTAGAACTTGGAGAACTATATTTAGTAAATGGCTATAGCAGGAATTAGATTTATATAAACATCGACAAAGGTCTAAGCTAGGTGAATCTGTGAAATAAGCATATGACCACTCTGGTAAAAATTACTTCTGAAGTTAGCTAGAGCTTTGCAGCTCATAATATATTAGACAATATATACTTTGAAGAAGATCTAAGCTATGTAGTAAATTGATCTGTATGTAAGTCAACTAGCTTAAGTGATCAGATATAGTAGTAACATTAGTTTGAGATAGGAAGAAGAGTTAATGATCAGAGTGTTTAAATAAATAACTCACAGGCAGATTGCAGGTATAGCAGTATAGTGTAGAACTAACAGATAGTTGATCATTTGCATAGCAGACTACTTAAACTAAACAATAACTAAAGTTATATATGTAGCTTGTTGTACATTCATCATGTAACTGTAAAACCTTAGGAAACTATTCATATAATAGTTCTGTAATAACAAACTAATAAAATCTAATCAGCTGGGATCTGGCGATCTTAGTGTAGTAGTTAGGTTGCCAGACTGCTATGCAAGAG